GGGAAGGGGGCGGGAAGAGAGAGGCAGCCCCTTTTCCGGGGGAGTTTTAACTAATTTTTTTCCCGGGGGGGGGTTAACTCATTTTTTCCCGGGGGGTTTGACTCTCTTTCGGGGGGGTTTAACCCATTTTTTGAGGGGTTTTGTCTGATTTCTGCGGTTTTAACCATTTTTTTGAGGGGGTTTGCCTCTTTTCCGGGGGTTTCAACCCATTTTTTTCCAAGGGTTTTGCCCCATTTCCAGGGATTTTGACCCATTTTTTTTCAAGGGGGTTTGCCTCTTTTCTAGGGGTTTCAACCCATTTTTTTTCAAGGGTTTTGCCCCTTTTCCAAGAATTTTGACCCATTTTTTCAAGGGGGTTTGCCCCTTTTCCGGGGGTTTCAACCCTTTTTTTTTTCCCAAGGGTTTTGCCCCATTTCCAGGGATTTTGACCCATTTTTTCAAGGGGGTTTGCCCCTTTTCCGGGGGTTTCAACCCTTTTTTTTTTCCCAAGGGTTTTGCCCCATTTCCAGGGATTTTGACCCATTTTTTTTCAAGGGGGTTTGCCTCTTTTCTAAGGGTTTTAACCCATTTTTCTGTTTGGTTTTGCCCCTTTTTGTGAATTTTTAACCCGTTTTCCCAAGGGGTTTGCCCCATTTCTAGGGGGTTTTGACCCATTTTCCAAAGGGCTTTGCTCCTTTTCCGGGTTTTGGACCTGTTTTTTTAAGATTTATTTCCCCTTTCTGAGGGGTTTTAACCATTTTCTGGGGGTTTTGTTCCTTCACTGGGATTTTTTTTTAACCCATTTTTTCCAGGAGTTATAACACATTTTCTGAGGGTTTTGCACCTTTTCCAGGAGTTTTAACCCATTTTTTGACGGGTTTTGCCCCTTTTCTGTTGTTTTTTTTTTTTTAAACCATTTTCTGAAGTTTGCCCCATTTCAGGGGTTTTAACCCATTTTTTTGAGTTTTTTTCCTATTTTCTGGGTTATTTTTAATCCATTTTCTGAAGTTTGCCCCATTTCCAGGGATTTTGCCCCTTTTCTGAGGTTTTTAACCCATTTTCTGAGGGTTTTGACCCTTTTCCCTGGTTTTGAACCCATTTTGTGAGGGTTTTGCCCCGTTTCCAGGGGTTTTAACTCATTTTTCAATGGGTTTTGCCCCTTTTCTGGAGGTTTTAATCCATTTTTTTTGAGGAGTTTTGCCCTTTTCTGGGGGTTCTTAACCCATTTTCAGGGTGTTTGGGGGGTTTACCCCTCCCCCAGATGTTTTTAACCCCTTTTCCAGTTGTTTTTAGGGTTTTTTACCCCTTTTCTGGATATTTTTGTTATTATTATTTCTGTGTTTCTTTTATTTATTTATTTTAAATTCCTTTTCTGGGTATTTTAAATCCCTTTTTTTTGGGCGTTTTGAGTATTTTAAGCCCATTTCGGGAATGGTTTGTTCTTTTTACCCCCGCTCCAGATGTTCTAACCCCTTTAGCTGGTCTAAAAAAACCACCCCTTTTTAGGTTTTTTTTTAATCCCTTTTCTGGGTATTTTTAATCCCTTTTTTGTGGTGGTGTTTTTTTTTTATCCCTTTTCTGGGCATTTTTTCGCCTTTTCTGAGTGTTTTTTTACCCCTTTTCTAGCTGTTTTTTAACCCCATTTTCCAGTCACTTTGTGGGTTTTTTTACCCCTTCCCCTGATATTTATAACCCCTTTCCCCAATTTTAGAGGCTTTTAAATATCCCTTTTCTATATATTTTCTTTTAAACCACATTTCCTATTTATCCCTTTTTTTTTTTTTTGTTGTTGGCGTTTTAAACCCATTTTCGGGCCACTTTTAGCCGGTTTCACCCCGGTTTTGGGCTGCTTTGCTTCTTTTTACCCCCCTCCCTATATTTTTAACCCCTTCCCCTGCTACTTTTTAGGGTGTTTAACCCATTTTTGGGCTGTTTTTACCCATTTTTGGGTCTTTTTTTTTTTTTTCTCCCCCCTT